TTTGACGGTAACATCTTGCATGTCCTATATTCAACACCAAACAAAACTAAAACCACATCACATAAATAATCAACCTTACAAAAATCAAATCAACAAACAGCATCACAACCTTACAAAAAGTTGCACATATAAAATTGCATGGAGAAGAAACCCCAGAATCTACAAGGAAGATGATTCAATGTGAAGAAGAAGAAGGTGAAACCATGAAAGTACCATATCAGTTAATCACAAATCTGACGTGGTTGTCACTCTTATCACTGCAAAATTGATCTATCACTTTTTTCACCATATATTTATCATTACAAAACCGCACACCATAGTAAAACCATCGAAAACACCACGGTCATTGTCAACTCCCCTATTCCATTCGGTACCCCAACAACCTTGTAGTATCTATTGTAGAAAATTAAGAGAAAATAAAGAAGAAAAGGAAGAGAGGGATTATGTTGCCCTTTCGTTTTTAATCTTAATTGGCTAATGCTTTATTCATTTGCATCAATATTGTTTGTGTCATGGCATTGGTTCTTAAGACATGGGATCGAGTTACTTCTATGGCTCAAGACTTTCCTTTATTCTAAGATTGTAAGCAGCAAGCATTAGAGGCTTCATCATTTATTTTGCTTAGCGATAGGGCACCGAATTATATTTTTCAGCCAGATATTTAGTGCGGGATACAATTCACATTTTATTTCAGGCATTATATAGGTGCAATATCAAATGACAAGTTTAATAGGCCAAACTATGCTCGTAACAGGTGGCAACAGGAGATTATCCAAGTTTCCCTCTTTAAGGCGCAAATTTTTTGAAGTTTTAAAGGTGTTAACCGATTAACCATTTGCTAGGCAATCAGTTAACCAGTATAAAATTTGCTCAAATGCTTCATTTCCAGCACTGCAACATGTGATAACCCATTCCAATCACTTAATTTCATTCTCACACCAGTAGAAGGATCCAGAAGTAATTCAAAATTTGATTCATCATTCAAAATTAATTTCACTTCCCTCCAAAATTCAAACATTTCCATTCCTAATACTAGCCCACACTCCAAACCATATTTAATTCCAAACCTAAACCATACTTAAATCAATTTGCTCCAAGCCTCTCAAACATTCACTCATTTTCTGATTTTTCTACACATCTCACTCCAACTCTCTCAACTTTTCTCTCATTCCAAAACCCTCACAAAATTTCCATAGCCAAAAGCTTAACAAATTGTGCATTGCAATTTGTGAATTCTTGAGCTAAACCTCCATTACATCGTCATCATTGGTTCAATTCTGAATTTGTAACTCATTTGGATCTTGATCAAGCTTTTGGAATCACTTCTTGAATAGTTTTTGCTTATTTATGGATTATTGCTTGGATCTTCAAGTTTTCTTGCTAAAGCTTCATAGATCTCTGGTTTTTGTGCTTAGATTCATCAATTTCAGTTTAACAACACTCACCAAAGTAATTCTCAACTTTGTAGGTTGGTAATTTCTAGATATAGCTTTGATTTTGCCTAATTTTACATTTCACAATATAAATCTATTGATTATTGGTGATAATTGGTCCATTGATTGTTTTGATGATTGATTTTGGTGTTTGTTGCATCCAGTTGATGTTTCATTGTTGTGATTTGGTTTAATTTTCGTGCATTTGATTGCTTAAGCATGTGAATGAGTGGATAATTGATTAACTGCTGAAAAGTGCTTTTAATTGTTGAGATTTTGCTTTTGTTACAGTGTTAATCAGTTAACACCAGGGGGTTAATCGGTTAACACTGTTGTGTTGCATTTTTTTTGCTACTTTTCACAGTGTTAATCGGTTAACACCAGGAGGTTAACCGATTAACACTGTTGCAGAATGTGTTTTTCTTGCTTTTTCAAACTTGTTTGGATTCCTTTCCATCCTTAAACCTCATGGATTGATATGATGCATATTTATGGACTATTTTTGAGCTATTTCACCATACTTGATATCATGCTTGTGATTCTTCGACACTCGACTTGAGGTTTTCAATGATGCATATCTATGATTTTTGTGTTGCATTCTTGGTGTGATGATCATGTTGCATAAACGTTTGTACAATGGTGATTCTTGGTTCTTAATGTTTATCTTGTTGGATTTGTGTCAAATGCTTATGTTTGTTTCCGATTCCGCAAACGCATGATTGTTCGAAACAATTAATTGGTGTTGAATATGTATGATGTTTTTGATGAATGTTTAGTTGTGTAATCTTGTTGAACTTGTTTATGCTTAATTGTTAATACGTGTTCATATTTGATCCTCACCATGTCATATGCATTTGTTGAAGTGTTGATGCATACATGCTGCCTGAGCTTTTACACCTGCTGTCCTGATTTTGGCATGTTGTTAATCGTGTCCATTCTGCCTGCTGCAATTTACACCTTTATATGCTGAAAATATGAGTTGTTAAATGTTATTTTACTTATTTGCTGGGTTTTTACTGCTGTTTTGAAGCTGAAGCGTGTTTGTAGCTATTGTTTTTGTTTTGTTTTCTTTGTTTTGGTTTGTTCTTGCATACTTCCTTAGGGCATCGTAGTCCAACTTAATTTTTGATTAAGCTTTGGGTAGGTTAGACATTAGAAGTGGATCCATGCATGCTAACATTAAGTTAGTCCCTTTTTAACCTCAACCTTATGTCCACCTTTGCATGATAACATTAGGATAGAGTTTCCTCTCACATCCCGACCTTAGGGCCATCTTGCATGACAATGTTAAGACTGAGTTTTCCCCTTAGACCTTTTGTGCATCTTTCTCTCTTCTCTCTTAAAACAACATCAAAACACTTAATAAATGCGATGAATATTGTACGCCATGAGCCTTAAGTATATGTGAGATGATGAGTGATAAGTCTCTCCTTATTTCGTCTAGAGTGTTTAGCATACGTCCTGTCTGGGGGCGACCATGCGACGCATTCGCTCCTATGTCATAGACTTTAGTGCAATATGAATCTCAAACCAAATCAATTCACTTCTCTAAAATTCACAAACAAACTTCAAATCATTTTGTCGTTCGGGATCATTTGTCAAACCTTTTCAAGAAGAGTACGTTATTTTTCCGTTCTACCGCAAATAGGCATCGAACATAACTGCTGGAACGTGAACTTAACGTCGCTCATAAAAAACACGTAACGACTCGTACGTCGAACTACGATCGTTCTGACTTTCTCATTCTCGTCCGAATGAGAATACATAGGCACAAGACGACAATGTCTTGGCGAGCAACCTTCCCTTTCACCTGTAGTCCTCCGAACTACGTTGACTCTGACTTTCCAATTGCACGAGGGAATACGTAGGCATAAGATGACAAAGTCCTATCGAGTCTCCTGTTTTCTTTTTTTTCTCTGTTCCGTTTTGTTAGCAGTAGGCTTTAGATAAACACACTCTATGATTAGAACAACAAGCATGGATCCCATTGAGTACAACTGGCGCGAAGGGGTGCTAATACCTTCCTCTCGCGTAATCGAATCATGAACCTAGGATTTGGTTGCGAGACTATGTCCTTTTCCTTTTTGAGGTTTTCTTTGATCGTTTTCTTTCTCCCGCCGAGATAAATAACGTTCGGTGGCGACTCTTCTGTTTTTCCCGCTGGTTGTTTTTCACAATTGCGATAGTACAGACCGCGGAAGAGAGAAGAAAGGAAGAGAGAAGAAAGAAGAAGAGGAAGAGGTAGATGATGATCGGAAAAGAGAGATGTATCGTGAACTTCCAGATTTTAGGGGAAACAAAATTTTGAAAATAACAAAAGTTATGATGCAGCATGTTGGTTTCAAACCAGAATAAATGAAAATCAGTTGAGAAATATATATAAAGGTAAATGAAATACAACAAATATGTATAACTTTTGCAACTTAATGGTCAAAAAGCAAATTTGGTTCAAATTTAAAAATTTTAGATCATATTTGCCTCAAATTTATGATGTGACAGTAAAGAAAAAGTCAATATTGAATTTTCCACAACGTTTAATTTTCTTATATTATATATTCAAACTAAATAATAACCAATTAATTTAAAAGTAATTCAATTAAATATTAATGAAACTATTTCTATATGATTAATTATATTTAAGATTTGTATTTTTCTTTGGAAAGACAAGGATTTATATTTTATTAATTTTATTTTAAGTTTGTGTTTTATTTGGGATTATATTTTCTATTTGTGTATTGTTTTAAAATACAATGAAATTAAAAATAAAAATTAATTTATTATATAAAAATGAAAATAAAAATAAAAATCTAACGTGGTTATCCACCTAATTATTAATAATACATATGACAGTCCAGTTAAAAAATAGGTTTAAAAAATATTAACAAATGACTAATATAATTCAATTAAATTTTATAAGAAACTAAATAAAATATTTTACTTATTTTAAATTAATTTGGATTTGGTAGTTTTTGTGAGTGATTAAAATGAATTTTCACTTAATTTTTATTTAATTTTATATGATAAATTGATTCATTTTTATTAAGGTTAAAATTCAATGTATAATTTTTAGATTTACATATGATATTAAAGGATCTTGAATATATATATATATATATATATATATATATATATATATATATATATATATATATATATATATATATATATATATATATATATATATAAAATAAAGTAAAACTTAAAAGATGAATGAATATGTGCAAGTTATTTAAAAAATTAACAAAGAAGTGTGTCCAAGTTTATTACTCAATCGTTATCTTGTCACTCTTATCTAAAAAGTATTATTATTGTCAAATAAAGCTGTCAAATTAAATTATTGACTAGGTGGGACCCACGGAGTAAAAGATAACCACGCTCACTGTCATTCATTCATTGGCTATTCAATGTAAGAAGTAACAGCAGCGGGTCCCACACATAGTTGTCACCCACCCATTCATATATTTTACCGCACCCGCGACCCTCCGCCACATTACTCATTTTCTCATTTCATATTCCTTCACTTCTTACCATTTTTCTTCACTCCAAAACTTTTCACTCACCAACCTAATGGACCCCACACCTTCGTTCCACCGCCGATTTCCTTCCAACTCCGACCGATTACTCGGTGCCTTCAATTTCTCTCCTCCCTCCAGTGTCACCACCTCCGCCGGCGATGAACTCAACGAAGCTGAACTGTTTTGGTCATCTGACAGCTCTGAATCTGAAAATCAAAATCAACGTCCCCCGCCTCAACCGACTGCGTTAACTCGTCACCGGAGTTTCGATCTATCTCAAGACTCCGGTATCCTCGCTGTTCTTTCAGGTCCAGACAACCGTGATTCACCGGTGTTTCGTGGTAAATCTCCCGTTTCGTCATCAAGAATGATTCCGTCCTTTCCGAGACCTAGACCTTCTTCTGGTTATAACTCCGAGCAATTAGTTCAGTCTATGCCTGCTAGAAAGTTCCAACAATCGGCTCCTGTAAAGGTTCCGGTTCTGCCACCGAGTCAATTCTCAAGACGGCGGAACGTTGACGCACTGGCGGTGTTGGACGATGACGACGACGATGGCGAGGAGCTGTTGCCGCCGCATGAACTTGTGGCGAGAGGCTCCGGAGTTTCGCCTAGAACTACTTTTTCCGTTTTGGAAGGAGTTGGGAGAACTCTCAAAGGGAGAGATCTCCGTCAGGTGCGAAACGCGGTTTTGCGCCAAACCGGTTTTCTTGATTAAACCGGTTTTTGTAAACCGTTTGTTGATATGTGTTGTTGAGGTGGTGGTGGAAGTTTAATTTTGATAGCTTCTTTACACCATTTATTCAGGATGATGAATTAGGAATTTTGAAATTTGGATAACTAGCTTTGTTTTTCGATGCTCTTTTTGTTCTATGAGATTTATAATATCTGGAAAATAGCTTTGTTGATTGTTAATTCAATTAAGTGAATATTAATCAGATATATCAGTGCTGTTTCTGCGTAGTTTTAAATTTTAAACTATTTGCTTCTCTGGGAAATAGATGAGAGTGATGTTTTGGAAGAGCTTATGGGGGTAGGTAAGATAAGATTGTGGTCATTGTCAATGTGTGATTAATTGAACACTATGTCATTGTCACGAATTAGATTCTTGTTAAACACAAAGAAGTGTGATTACTGGTTATTTAGACTTTCTGCTTGTCTTGTTTTATGATGACGAATAATTGTTCTTATGAATACAACATGATTCTTTGGCCCTTCTCTTCAAATTAATTCCAATAGAAAAATCAATAACGAGTTAGTTTAACGGTGATTAGACTTGAACTTAATAGGAATTAAAAGGAAGAACCACGGTTCAATTATCTCAATAATTGTGATTAGGAAGAAATCGAAATTACTTAATGTCAAATCTGACTCTTCAAACTAAGTTGTTTGAGCGAAAACTTGTTGGAAAGTTTTGTCATGAAGTGAGTTAAAAAGGTAGTATCACTGCCGATCAAAAGTAAGTCATCAACATATACTAATAAGAAAGCTTGTACACCCTGTTTATTGTAAATAAACAAGGATGAATCACTTAGGCTTGTTTGAAACCCAGTAGAAAGAACAAAGGCCTTAGAGAGAATCATGCCATGCTCGAGGTGCTTGTCGTAAGCCATAGATAGCCTTCTTGAGTTTACATACATGTTGAGGAAACTCAGAATGAATAAACCCGGGTGGCTGTTGCATGTAGACATCTTCAGTCAATTTTCCCTGCAAAAAGGCATTATTAATATCCATTTGGTGTAAGGACCACCCTTGAGAAAGTGCTAAAGTGAGAACCACTTTAATAGTTTGAGGTTTCACAACCGGTGCAAATGTTTCCTTAAAATCATGACCAGGTGTTTGAGTGAATCCTTTTGCAACCAACCTTGCTTTATATCGTGCCACACTCCTATCAGGATTTCTTTTTATGCGAACCAACCATTTACAGCCAACTAAATTAGTATGAGCCTGACGGGGAACCAAGGTCCAAGTACCATTATTCATGAGTGCATTAAATTCAGCCGAACAAGCATCTCTCCAATGTGGTATTTTAAGTGCTTGAGTAATAGTAGATGGCTCAAGATTTTCCTGCAAGTCATGTTTAGAGGCAATAAATAGTTTCTTGGGTTTGAATAATATTATTTTCTGACCTTGTCACGATAGGAGCACGTTGAACCGGATTATTTGTCGTTGAAGTTGGAATCGGATCAAATGCAGTGTTGGTGATAGAGTTGGTTAAGTTATCACTAGTCACTGGTATCTCTGTTGTTACAGACGACTCGATAGGTTGCATTTACTCAGGGACTGGTGGAGGACTTGATACCGGATCTGTTATGGGACTCGATACCGGGACTGATGGCTCAGGGGTGGATGACTCATGTGCTAGGGACTAGTTTGGTTCCTGAGCTGAATTTTGATCTTGGGTAACATGAATAATACTGTGTACCGAAGAGTCATGTGATGGAATTGGAGGACAAGTAGATGACGAATTAATTAGGGATTGATAGGGGAATGAGTTATCCATAAAGTGGACATGTCTAGATACATATATCCTATTTGACACAGGTTCAAGACAAAAATATGCATACTGAGACGTTGAATAGCCTAGGAAGATGCAAGGTTTAGACCTGGGTTGGACCTTATTTTGCATATTTGGTTTCAGCCAAGGAAAGCACAAACAGCCAAATGAATGAAGTGTATGATAAACTGGTTTGCTTTTAAACAATATTTCAAAGGGAGATATCATATTAATGATTGGTTTAGGCATCTTGTTAATAAGATACACAACAGTGGTGAAAGCAAATGACCATAGTTGGGAGGGTAAATTAGCATGATGCAAAAGAGTACGACCCGTTTCAACAACATGTCTGTGTCTCCTCTCTGTTGTGCCATTTACCTCAGGTGTGTGAGGTGGTGAAGTTAAATGAGAAATGCCATTATTGGCAAGAAAAGATTTTAATTTGATAAATTCTCCACCGTTATCAGTGAAAAGAGAAACAATCGGAAAATTAAAGGATTTTTCAACAATGGACTTGAATTGAACAAAAATAGAGAAGACATATGACTTATGTTTCATTGGGTACAATCAGACATATTTGGAAAAATGATCAACAATGATTAAATAATATAAAAAACCATCTATTGATCTAACAGGAGCTGGGCCCCAAACATCAGAGTACAAGAGTTCCAAAGGTTTGCTGCTTGTGAGATGATGATTTGAAAAAGGAAGCTTGTGGCTTTTTGCACAGCGACAAGAAGTACACTCATGTGAGGACAGAAGCTTTATTGGTAGATGATGATTGTCAGTCAGATGCTTTATTATTTTGAAAGAAGGATGTCCTAATTTATGATGCCATGTAGATGTAGAATGAATGCTTGTATGCAATGCTTGCGGTGGACTGGATGAACGAAATGCATTTGATAGATGATAAAGATCATGTTTAAGTGGTCCTTGAAGCAGTGGTTGACCCGAGGTCATGTCCTTGACAACAAAATGATTTGCAAAAAATTCAACAGAACAACTATTAAATTGACATAACTTGGAGACAGACACAGAGTTACCAGTGTGAGTAATTTTCAAACCTGTTCCATCACCAACAATCACCCGATCTGCTCCAGGATAGGAATTTGTTAAGGTAAGCTGTTGTAGGTCCTGAGCAATATGATGAGATGCTCCTGTATCCATGACCCAGTTACCATGTTGTGTTGCAGTCTGATTTTGAGCAAAGTTCGTTGTTGATTTAAGGCCGTTTCGTTTAGGAAATCCCTTAATCCTGTAGCAAACCTTAGCAGTGTGACCTGCCTTGTCGCAAAACTGACAGACCACCTTATTTTTGCCATTCCGCAAAGTTGGTGAAGGGCTGCGATTATTGTTGTTTTTGTGGTGATAGTTTTTTGTTCTTGTGGTTGCATTGGCAGTGGCAATCACATTGTCAACTGCAAGTGGATCAGCTTGATGATGAATTGTTTCAAAATCCATCAGTTTTTCATGAAGTTCAGCAAATGCAACTGGACTTTCTCTGCTTCTAAGTGCAGCGGAAATTTCATGATACTCAGCACTCAAACCATTGAGAGTGTGAATAACAAGATCCGTTTCATCAAGGGGATGATCAATGATTGAGAGTTCATCCAAAATTGCCTTTATCCCTTGTAGATATGTAGCCATTGATTGATTTCCTTTTTTGAAATTGGAAATCCGTTGTTTGAGCGCAATAATCCGCACTCTTGAGCGGCCCGCATACATGGTTTTAAGGATCTCCCATGCTTGATTGGAACTTTTGACAGTTCCTAAGTGTGTGACCACTGTTGCAGCCACCGAAGATACAATACCATGTAGAATGAATTGATATTGTCGAACCCAATTCGTGAAGGCTGGATTGACATGGACAAGGCTTAGTTCCATCAATATAACCTAGAAGATCATAGCCTGTTAAAAGAGCCATGAATTGAATTCTTCAGGCAGGATAATTCTCTCCATCAAGTTTAATGGAGAGTTGAGAACCAGCATTCAAGACAATCACTTTGTCGGTTGGTGATGACATAGTGGGCGTCGGTTCAGGTTCAGACGGCTGGTGATGACATAGTGGGTATCGGTTCAGGTTCAGAAGGCATAACACGGATCAGAAAAAAAATTGCTTTTAAGCTTTACGCTCTGAATACCATAAAGGGAATGATTCTTTTATATCTTATTCCAGCCATAAGTGCTGAGTATTTATAGATACAAATAATACTTGAGTGTATAACTAATTCCTAATCCTAACGAAACCCTATTGGTGATTCCTAATATTAAGCAATGAATAATTCAAACTATACCAACTCATATGCATAGTAATAGGAATGGTTGGTTACACTTAATTATTGGAACAACTTATTCTTATCTATTATTAGAGAGAACTCTCAAAGGAAGAGATCTCCGTCAGGTGCGAAACGCGGTTTTGCGCCAAACCGGTTTTCTTGATTAAACCGGTTTTTGTAAACCGTTTGTTGATATGTTGATATGCGTTGTTGAGGTGGTGGTGGAAGTTTAATTTTGATAGCTTCTTTACACCATTTATTCAGGATGATGAATTAGGAATTTTGAAATTTGGATAACTAGCTTTGTTTTTCGATGCTCTTTTTGTTCTATGAGATTTATAATATCTGGAAAATAGCTTTGTTGATTGTTAATTTAATTAAGTGAATATTAATCAGATATTACAGTGCTGTTTCTGCGTAGTTTTAAATTTTAAACTATCTGCTTCTCTGGGAAATAGATGAGAGTGATGTTTTGGAAGAGCTTATGGGGGTAGGTAAGATAAGATTGTGGTCATTGTCAATGTGTGATTAATTGAACACTATGTCATTGTCACGAATTAGATTCTTGTTAAACACAAAGAAGTGTGATTACTGGTTATTTAGACTTTCTGCTTGTCTTGTTTTCTGATGATGAATAATTGTTCTTATGAATACAACATGATTCTTTGGCCCTTCTCTTCAAATTAATTCCAACAGAAAAATCAATAACGAGTTAGTTTAACGGTGATTAGACTTGAACTTAATAGGAATTAAAAGGAAGAACCACAGTTCAATTATCTCAATAATTATGATTAGGAAGAAATCGAAATTACTTAATGTCAAATATGACTCTTAAAACAGATTATTCTGTTCGGTACACCGAACCAGATATTGATGATGAAAAAATGGGCTAGTACTCTCTAAGGAAGAGAGTTCATATTTTATTTTATTGACTTTGTAGATTAA